AGGACTTCACGGAGGATTCCAATAAGAAATGGTGCACCTAAGTAATTGTTCTTATTGGAACAAGCAGGTTGGTCTGGCCTCTGATTGATACATGGCTAGATTTACCTCGCTGCACCTTCTCTGTGAGTGACTGCAGTGTGACCTAGAGGAATGAGTCCCCTAGACGGGGAGGGGGGGAAGCAAATGAGTACAAAACAAATCTGGTCTATTTCTTGTTTTGATCCACTCCATCTACCTTTTACATCTTTGGCTGGCAGCAGATGGTGCAGAAGGACTGCAAGCCATCCACATCTCATGGCTGCTCAGCAGAAAATGGTGCAGTAGGACTGCTAGCCATCCTCATCTCTTGCCTGCCTGGCAGAAGATGGTACAGTAGGACTGCTAGCAATCCGTATCGCCTGCCTGCTCACCATAAGATGGTTCAATAGGACTGACTGCAGGACTAAAGAGAATGACCTGGCCAAGTCACTCCAAATTTAGTCCCTGCACCCATGTCTGCCCAGGCTCTCCTGATCGACCTCACAGAGGCGACCAGGAGCACCTCGGACATGACTATGATGGCTACCAGTCCTACTGTACCTTCTGCTACCACAAAGCAGTGGGTTGATGCTGCTGTGTAGCAATGCAGTACCACATCTGCCAGCACCCAGGAGACATAGGGTGACAGTTACCTGAGCAGGCTCCATGCTTGCTGAGGTATGGCATCTGCACAGGTAACTCAAGAAAAAAGGCGCGAAACGATTGTCTGCTGCTGCTTTCATGGAGGGAGGGAGGGAACAGGGGCCTGACGATATGTACCCAGAACCACCCGTGACAATGTTTTAGCCCGATCAGGCATTGGGATCTCAACCCAGAATTCCAATGGGCGGCGGAGACTGCGGGAACTGTGGGATAGCTACCCACAGTGCAACACTCCGCAAGTCAACGCTTGCCTCGGTACTGTGGAAGCACTCCGCCGAGTTAATGCACTTAGAGCATTTTCTGTGGAGGGACACACACTCTAATATATAAAAACGATTTCTAAAAAAAGACTTCTATAAATTCAACCTAATTTCGTAGTGTAGACATACCCTCAGTAAACTGTGCCAAGTAACAGATCACAGAGAGTTAGACTGCCAACCAAAAAGTACGTACAGTTGTGCAATTTGTTATTTTTCCATAGGGCAACCAACACCATCAAGCTCTCCAGGACTACGAAACTACATATGAACAGACATGCAACATTTGTTCAGTCCATGCGATCAGTTGCTTTTTCTCCTAGAATATGTTTCCTTGAGGGCTGAAATTGGACTCTTCCATCTTCAATCAATAGGTCTGAAAAGCTCATTCTCTTTCATACAACAGCAACAGCTTCTTAGCCAGTAATTTACAGCCAATTGTTTAAGAGTCCATTGGCCTCCCACCCCACATAAGAGGGATTTCTGTCTGGGTCATAGCAGGATATGGAGAGGCAGTTCCTGTCAAAAGGGAAGTAGGTTGCATAGGACCCCATGTACTTGTGCGTGTTAGAAATATAGGCAGTAGGGCATCTGGGCCAACACAAAATAGCCCTGAACCATTCATCTCCCCCTTTTTCTATATACCTCCTCAAATCATGCCCTCTTCCTTAAAAGTTGTGCCTTTTAATTTCCCCCCAGGCCCTCTGCAGTAGGCTTTTAGTCATCCTAACACGCGTTTTCAGTAATTGCCCAGGGCTCTCATCTACTGTCTTGTAGGGCTCTCATCTACTGTCTTGTATTATTTAACTGTCTAAAGCATCTAGGGTTAAGGTGTTATATAAAAAAAGAAAAATAATTCTTTAGGGCCCCTTAAATGTGATGCTAGACAAAAACAAAACAACATAGTTGTTGCTAGGGTATTATTTAAGGTGTAGGATGTGTGTCTGCTGCAAAATAATGATTTAGTTATGGAAATGAAGTAAACTTAATTTCCTGTTCTTGGCACCTCTTTAAGCTGTTACAGATACATTCAATTTAAAAAACATGTTTACATTATTTTTTAAATTTGTGATAGAAAATTGAAATAAAATATTTAAAAGCTAATTTTATTTAATTTTAATCCTGTGATTAAGAATTCTTTTGCTGCAAACACTAAATTCTTTTAGAAGACAGGAGGTGGCGGCTTGAGGGGATTGGTTTCTTCAGATAGGCCATGTCTCAATTATTAAGTAGAAGGAAAAAATGGCCCAAATAAAGGCTTTGCTTCTCCACAATTGACAAATGCTAGCCCTGTATAAACTGTCATTATTTCATTAGACCGCTACAAAATACAGGTTTGTGAGTGAGTGTGTGTGCGCGTGAGAGCACACTACAAAGCTGCTTCACTTACATTTATCAATGTTCTGTTTTTTCGTGTTATCTTTAAAAGCACATGTGACAGCTACAAAGCATTTGTACATCCTTCCTCCTTCTGGGACTGAAGACCCCTGGCAGAATAATGAGCAGGGGATTCTCTGATTTGCTCACCTCTACCCCTGTTTCACTAGGGTAGCCAGTCCCCAGACCTGGATTCAAACAAAATCCCATTGGCACGAATGACTAGCGCATAGGGACGAGAGGAAGCACAAAGCAGCTAAGGCTCTGAAGTGGCATTCACAGACCTGGCGCTGTACTTCTCACCCAGCACTAATAAAACAATCAAGGCGTTGGAACTGCCTCACCCGATGCTTTGGACGACACTGTTTCCACGTTAAACATTTGAAAGTTTATTTGTTAAACATAATTGCATCAAGTAAAGTTTTAAAAATCTAAATTCTGTTAAAAAAGTCAGGAAGAAATAATAAAAAGTGGTAAAAAGAGTTAGGACCTCTTTGACAAAAATTAGTTCAAACTAGCCTCTCTTTTAAGTTAGGCCGCATGTATGTTTTGTATAACGTAATGCTGAAGAGAATCTAAAGCTTTCCTGACAGTTTACAAGTAATAAGTTTTTAGAACAATATAGGTTTGTCTGGAATTGCCTTTGAATGCTGGGCAATTCATTTAGGCAAAACTTTAAAAAGCAAGCTAATGCTATTTTTTTTGAAGACTGGGATATTTCTACAAAATATCCCCAAGACAAAAACTTGAGCGTGAGTGCTACAAAGCATTTTCATGTTAAACTTACAAGTTTATTTGTTAAAACTGTACGTGGTGTGATGATGCTTAAGAGAATTTAAACTTTTTAAAAAGTTAGGAAGAAATCGCATCATCCTCTTTGGTAAAAAGCATGATCACTTCTTTCACATTAGTTAGTTTAAACTAGCATTCGGAACATGCTAGGTGGAACTAGATGGGATTCCTGATCTGGCACAAGCTGTCGGGGCAGGGGAGTTTAGGGAGCCACATGGAGTTGGCATTTACAGACATGCACAGCTAATTAGCAGCACTTCCTCCCCCGCCCCCCGATGTTGTACAACATCACCCCAAAAAACACGGAGACCCAAACCCACTTGTCAAGTTGACAGCAAAGACCTCAGAAAGGAAAGGGTGAGAAGACAGCCAGGACTGCTGTCTGACTCTGCCATAGGCTGCATTCGTCTCCTTAAGAAAACATCCCCCAGCAACCCCTGCAGCAGAATCCTCCCTAGCAGGGCTCTAATCCTGGTGCTGATCAGTCCCTGGAGGGAAGCCCTGTTTTGCATTTCCTCTGAGGCCAGCCCTTGCTTTATCTTTATGGCTAAGGGGCTCCCCTGCTGGGAGGGAGACGATGACAGAGATCAGGAAGAGTTAAGGGAGTAAGCTGCTGATGAAGCCCGATCTGTCAAACCAGATGGAGAGGGGAAGGAGACCAAGCGGGGAGAAGAGACTGCCATTCTCTAAACAGGACCAGCCAAGGAAAACACAAGTTGGGCAGTGCCCTTTGTTTGCTTCTTTAGGGTGGATGTTAAAGAAATGATCCCAGTATCCCCCTCCTGCACTAGAACTGTAGGGCCCATCTAGAAGGCTCTCTAGAGTTGCTAATTTTGTTTGGAGGTATTCCTGGAGGTTTCATCACATGACAATCTCTAATTAATCTGTAATTCCTGGAGACTCAGGGCAATCCTGGAGGGTTGGCAACCCTTATTGGGAGTGATGAGCATTATATGCTTTGCGTGTGTATTCTGTTTTGGTGATTGTTAATAAATAGAGGTTAAGGATATTACTCCCAATAAGGCAGATGAAATTTTCCTGCTGGCCAGTCAGGATCGTGTCACGGCTGGGAGGAGGCTGAGCTGTGTCAGGGCCGAGGCAGAGCTCTGAGGCACACAGGAGAGACGTCAGCCTGCCCAGCCTCACCCGAGTTCTCCCCAGCTCCCATGTCAGCATGTCCCCAAACAGGAACAAACAACTGCCCTGGCAAGCATTGGCTTCTCAGCCTCCCTCCCCACACCCGTCCCACCTGAGGTTGCTCTCAGAGAAGAGGCCATGCACTGACTGAGCTGCAGGACTGAGGGGGGTGGCCATGGGGAGGGGAAGTAGCACCGGCCCAGTCTGGGGGGAGAGAGATCTCTCCTGCAGCCAGACACACGTTCTGCCACGCAGCAACACTGTCCACCCCACTGTCTCCCCCCGTCCCCATGACAGAGGGCCTGTAGGGCCAAACCTGAGTGGGCACACCAGCCAGTGGGGCGGCAAGCACTGCTCCTCCTCACCACTGCCATGGAGCCACTCCTGTCCCAGGAGCGTACCACCCTGGCCCCATGCCGCAGGGCGAAGCGGGTAAGAGGCACAGGGATTGGGCATGACACTAAGCCAGCCAGGCAGGGAGGTGGCAGCTGAGCATGGCCCAGACTCAGTGGACAACAGCTGCAGCAGGGATGGACGGTGTACACCACGAGAAAGTTCTTAGTGCCTCTGCCAGGGCTCACTCCAGTAGCTCTGCAGTGAGGCCCGAGGCCCACTCTCCATGGTCCCACATGCTGGGCAGTTGTTTTCCTTGGGATAAAAGTAGTTCGGACCCCTTGTTACCTGCTCCTGGGCTGGGAGCACGCAGATGGGCTGTGATAGCCCAATGTGTGCCATGCGCAGGTGGTGATTTTTTACCGTTGGAGCAAGATGATGGAGGGGATGCGGTCACTGGCACCTTGGCAGGGGGAGGGGCTGGATTTGGCAGACTCGCCCATCTCTTGTCAAAGGCTTTGTGCGGGGCCCTCCCCACATCGGGATTGGGGCAGCCGATTCCTTTCACCAGGGAATTCAGCTTCTCCAGGAAGGAGCCTGGGGCAAACTGGCCTGTTGGCAGAGAGATGAGGAGAATCATGCAAGGTGTCACGTCATCACTGGCTTCTGCTTCTACACTGACACAGAGAACCGCCACCCCCACTTCCCCTCCTATCACCCCCCCCCCGCCCTGACCCCTTCCTGCTCACCACCACAGCTCCTCCCCTGTCTCAATCACTCCAGAAGCCAATCTAACATAATGTTGGAGAATGTGGCATGGCTCACTAGGGACACGCTGCCCTGGCTGGAAGAAAGCTTAGGAGAAACTGAGGCAGAGAGCGGAGAAGTGACTTGTCCACAGTCACACAATGGGTCTGCGCAGAGTGAGTCCTAGAACTCAGATGCCCAACTCCCTGCTCTATCCACTAGGACATGCTGCTCTTCCATGCTTTGTTCTCAAAAGATAAAGGGCATTACCTTCATTTGGCAGGCTGGCGGCCTCCATTGTCCTGTCTCGGGCGCTCTGCAGATGACTGGATGGTTGGTTTCCGACCACGGAGCTCGAAGCTGTAACAGCAAAATGTTACTCTGAGGGAGGCTGCTTCTCAGCAATGGGCAATACCCCCAGCTCCAGAATGCAGGAACCACTATGGAGCATGGCTGAGGTTTCCAATGGCCTCCAGGTCCCATTGTATTCTCAGGGATGCTGCTTTGTTTTCCTTATAACGCTCTTCTGTCTGCCCTTGTGCCACAGAAGCCAGCCCCAAGCAGACTCTGAACAGGCAGGCCCCTAGGCCAGTGTGTCGTCTGGAACCAGCCCTGGAGGTCTCTCCTTAGGGCTCTGGGGCTCGGAGCCAGCATGGAAGCACTGCTGTGGAATGGAGCTCCTAGCTCATTAACCTCATTATGTAAACACCTGACAAGTCAGTAGCAAACCTGACCCTGCTCTAGGGTTGCCAGGTGCCTGGTTTTGGACCTAGCAGCATCCAGTCAGTTGTACTGACCGGACACCAAAAGTCCAGTTACCCCAGGGGAAGGCATTGGGTCGTCAGCTCACAAAGTCCCAGAAGAACTCCACCCTAAGGCCCAGCAGGGAGGGTTTTCCCCTCTCAACCCCCAGCCGGCCTCAACTTTTCTGACTACAAACGTGGTCCCTGCAGAGAGCCCTGGTGGAAGCTTGTTCCACTGCCCAGGCCCTGCCCAAAGAACACACCACCACCAGCTGCCTATTCAGTCAAGGAGAGTCCAGCTCCAGCCAGGGGCAGCAAGTTGTATGGGCCCATGGTACCTGGGCTCCAGCAAATTCAGAGCCCGGAGGGCCTGGCTCCACCAAGGTTTGGGACCCCAGCACCCACCCCGCACCCCAACCCACTGTCCCAGCCCACGGCCCGCACCCAGCACCCAAACTACCTCACAGAGCCTGCATCACAAACCCCTCCTGCACCCCAACCCCTGGCCCCAGCCCAAAGCCTGCACCCAAACGCCATCCCAGAGCCCACACCCCATCTGCACTCCAACCCCTTCCAGCATCCAAACTCCTTCCCAGAGCCTTAGGCAGGTGTGTGGGGGAGACTTGGACCCGTTCTGGGCACCTCCACAAGTTATACAAACCTGCCACCCCTGCCTCCAGCATCTCCCCAGGCAGCAGGGAGAGGCAAGTCCAGGTGATTTAGCCTGACTCTGTTACAGAATTCTGTGCCAAGTCTGCTAAAGGAGACCATTCATGGGGTGGGTAAATCTGTATTAGTGGGTCAGAACTGCCTGGATTCAAGCTGCCTTTCGACGGCAGCACATGCTGGGCCTGGGCCCTCTTTGCACCGGTAGCCCTGCTGCGAGCTGTGGCAAAGCATCTGGAAGACTGCAGACCAGATATTCATCTCCCCCTTGGTATGTTGCAGCCCAGCCCCAGAGGCCAAGCAATAAACAGGGAAGATGGAGACAGCCTGGGATTTGCTGGCAGTTTTGTTTGCAAGCTTTTAGGTCTTTAACGGATTGTCTATATGGCGAGATCAACTGGCACTCCAAAGCAGAGCAATTATTTTGGAACAAAGTCATTTATTTCTATGCAGCGTCCATGCAGAGAGCTATTCTTAGAGCACGGTAGTGGATCAGCAATCGTTACCCTGCTATAGCTAAGCCGTGAGGTTGCTCTGACCTGTGTAGGTAAGGCCTAACCCTCCAAGATAACATTCAAGGTTGGGTCAGAGATCTGCAAAGGTGCCCACATGGAAACCAGGGAGGTCTCTTGGCCTGGGAGCACTGCAGATCCTCTGCTCTGTTCTTTCCCCAACGCTGCGTCCACTCCCCCCCACTCCTCCTCCAGCCAGCGTAATCAGCAGAGTGGTTGGGGGAGGACATAGGACGCATGCACCGGGCCTGGTTCTCAGTTACTCCATTCTGCACTTGGGGCAGGGCTGGAGGAGGATCATGGGCTTTAGACGACCTTTGCGCTTCTTTATTCTGGGACTATGCAGTGGCCGGCCCTACTTCTAGCGTAAGTGAGATCAGTCACTGCAGTGTCGTATGCTCCAGCCATGCCCTGATCCACCGGTTGTAATAACTGGGCCTACACATTTATCCTGTGAGCTCAACTATGAGAAGTGAGTGGAAGGTCATAGAATGTCCCAATAACCTAGAACAAATATTGATGGGAAAAGATAAGAATGGGAGACAAACTGGAATAGTCCGCACAAAAGGCCTCCTAATATAACTCAAGGACTTTGTTAAGATCATGCCTGGTGAATAAGAGCAGTATGAGACCGAAAATCAATTAACCCACATTGGTGTTGGAAATTAGGTTTAATTGGCAGACAAAACAACAAGGGGATGGGCTATTCCACCCAACACTCCCTGGCTATGGCAATGAGCCTCAGCATCACAGCTGCCACCTCCACCATTGCGTAAGATCCCGAACCTTCGCCCATCCTGGTCCTGAGAGATGTCTTGACCAGACCGTACCAGAGAGCGGGACCCAGATGACATCACCATCTCTACTGGTTCCAGCTGAATCTCAAGCACCCCCTGCGATGTGAGACTTTGTTTTCCTCGCTCAAACGTGTCCTTTTCCAGCTGTACCTTATTTCTTCACTTTCCTCTCTCCCTCTCCTTTTTCCTCGTGTTTACTATGAGCTGGCCAAGACTGCATATTTTGCAACAGTGCTTTAAGCCTGTGACCAGAAAGAGGCAGCTCAAAGCAATGCCCTAAACAGCTTGATGCCGGTACAAGTTTGCCAGATCTTGGAGTGGCTCATAAGACCCTGGGGCTCAGCCTGTGTTTTTCCAGCAGCGAGGCTACAAGTGAGCATCAACTCCAGAGACTGAAGCTACAGTTTCTAACTTAGTTGTTCTTTTCTTCCACCTTGGGTGTGCATTTTATCTTCTAGGAAACAGGACTGGACTTTAAACAGCTCTAGCCCATCCCTTTCCCCCCAAAACGACACTTATCACAAGGTGGTTTTTCCTTCTAAAGTCACTCTCCAGCTAAAGGGAACAAGGGATGCTTTAAAATGAAAGCCTTATTTAAACATTTCAAAGCTATAGGACTCAGCAGGATGAAGTTTCTGTACCAAAACCCACATCTTGTTCAATTCTGGACAGTGACTGGGTTGTGTTAGCACCTTTGACTCTCGGGGCCCCTTTTATCCATCTAAATTAAATACTCTTTCCCCCCCACCCACCCCACACACAGGATGCTGAGAGCAGGGCAGGTTCAGGTTCAGAAACCTTCTGCCAGCTCCATAAAATCACAGAATAACAGAGTTGGAAGGGACCTCTGGAGGCCATCTAGTCCAATCCCCTGCCCAGAGCAGGACCAATCCCAACTAAATCATCCCAGCCAGGGCTTTGTCAAGCCTGACCTTAAAAACTTCTAAGGAAGGGGATTCCACCACCTCCCTAGGTAACGCATTCCAGTGTTTCACCACCCTCCTAGTGAAAAAGTTTTTCCTAATATCCAACCTAAACTCCCCCACTGCAACTTGAGACCATTACTCCTTGTTCTGTCATCTATCACTGAGAATAGTCTAGATCCATCCTCTTTGGATCCACCTTTCAGGTAGTTACAAGCAGCTATCAAATCCCCCCTCATTCTTCTCTTCTGTAGACTACACAATCCCAGTTCCCTCAGCCTCTCCTCATAAGTCATGTGTTCCAGTCCCCTAATCATTTTTGTTGCCCTTCGCTGTACTCTCTCCAATTTTTCCACATCCTTCTTGTAGTGTGGGACCCAAAACTGGACACAGTACTACAGATGAGGCCTCACCAATGTCGAATAGAGGGGAACAATCACGTCCCTCGATCTGCTGGCAATGCCCCTACTTATACACCCCAAAATGCCATTGGCCTTCTTTGCAACAAGTGCACTCTGTCGACTCATATCCAGCTTCTCATCCACTGTCACCCCCAGGTCCTTCTCTGCAGAACTGCTGCCCAGCCATTCGGTCCCTAGTGTGTAGCAGTGCATTGGATTCTTCCGTCCTAAGTGCAGGACTCTGCACTTGTCCTTGTTGAACCTCATTAGATTTCTTTTGGCCCAATCCTCCAATTTGTCTAGGTCCCTCTGTATCCTATCCCTCCCCTCCAGCGTATCTACCACTCCTCCCAGTTTAGTGTCATCTACAAACTTGCTGAGGGTGCAATCCATACCATCCTCCAGATCATTAATGTGCAGAGCAGCTGCACAAGGGGATTCTCAGCAGACCACTTCCACTCACTTTTATGGTGCTAGAATAGCAGAAAGGGGCCTTGGCATAACAGAATCAGGTCCCCCAAATCTTGGGTGCTTAGTCAGGACTCTCCAGGTTTGCTTTCACCGGCCATGCCCTATAGACCAAGGCACAAGAGACTCAGGGCTTTTTTCTACCAGGGATGCAGGTTTGTCCTTTTTAAAAAACTTTAAAATATTGTTTTTAGAAGTTAATTTTAAAAATGTTTAACTGTATCTTGGGCCTTATCTAAGGGAGAAAGTTGCACTAGGTTAGTTTACTGTGTGATTATAAACCAGTACAAAAGGCAATGTGAATGGTTTAAACCAGGCTTATTTTGCTTTGGCTTAAATCAATTTGGAATCAAACAGGGGTGTTTTTGTAGTGGGGTCCTACAGGGATCTGTTCTTGGCCCTACACTATTTAACATTTTTATCTACGACCAGGAAGAGAATATAAAATCATCCCCAGTAAAGTTTGCAGAGGCACAAAGACTGGGGCGAGCAGTAAAGAAGGAAGAGGACACTGATACAGAGCCACTTTGGTAAGCTGGGCACAAACAGTGTACATTTTAATATGGCCAAATGTAAATGTATACACCTAGGAACAAAGGCTATAGTAATGCTTATAGGATGGGGGCTTCTATCCTAGGAAGCAGTGACCCTGAAAACAACTTGGGGGTCATGGCAGAGAACCGCAGAACATGAGCTCCCAGGGTGACCAAAAGGACCAAGGCAATGTTTGGATGCACAAACAAGAGAATCTTCAGTGGGAGTAGAGAGGTTATTTTACCTCTGAATTTGGCACTGGTGACACCACTGCTGGAATCCTCTGTACAGTTCTGGAGCCCACAATTCAACAAGG